GCCTTTTTCAATATTCAATCGCAGGAAGGAACATGCGATCCAGATGGATACCTACCTGTAAAGCACTGCTACCTCCATGGAAAACATCCAGCTTCTGTGGGTTCTGTTTTCCACCTCCCCAGTAATAAACCTGTGAATGATGTGTATGGTCACACCACAACAACAAAAGTATATCGTATCAGGATGTTACTCATTATGTGCCAGCCTTTCTGATTTATCACTGGTGCTATTTTCACCTGTTTCTCATACCGGTATGTGAAACATCAGAATGTTCCCTGTATCTCATAATTTTGACTGCATTGTAATGAACACATTTTCTTTTCATTAATCATGTTTATCACAATGGCAACTATTAGACATTCTACATCCATTATTATACAGTATCATTATATAGTGGCACATGGGAAGAGAGCTCTAAGCTGTTCAGCACTTCACACCACTCACCTCACTGGTTTTAGAGGTAACAACAGGGACTGTGTCAGTTGTGACGCTCATTCTGCAAGTCAAGTTACATGCTGTTAGTGCCAGCAAGCATGCAGCTGCTAGTGGACTAACTGGAATACAGAGTATCCTCACGATGTAAACTTTCTTGGGTCACTGATCTCATGCTGTTAACTTTGAACCCATGAACTATAAATAAATAGAGGGATTCATTTCTTCATGGTCAAGACCAGAAGTCATGCATTCTCTGGAGAATTATACATGCTTTAGCTTTCAGAGGAGCAGAGCAAACACAAGTCATCAACTGAAGTTTAAACTTAAATCTGGGTACAGTTAGTTAGGATATTTGGGTTAGAGTGAGTGCTTGAAAGCAGCATGTGATGGTTACCTCTCAACTACACTATAGGAAGCATTGAAAGAGCATTATGGGGGATTTCCCTAAGGAAAGCCATCAGGATATCCCCATTAAGAAAGCTTTTACTGTAAAGCCAGAGAACTTGAGCAACTTGTCACACAAGGTGTCACGCACTGAGTATTAGCACAGATGGTAGAAGTCAACAGTCCTCAGGATGACAGCAAGTACAGTACTTATTTGTAATGGAATGAAACACTTTCTGGCAGTTATAAAGGCTAACATCATTTTTGGCAAAGGAACATACAATACTATGGCCCGATTCACACGTGCGTCGTTTTTATGTGTCGGGCGTCGTTCGACGCACGCGCGCAAGCTGTACGACACATTTTTCAATTGTATAAGCAGCTCGCGCAGCCCATTTCCGCATCACAGAAGGTCAAATGTCTTCATTCCCGCGCTTAATAAGCCTGAAACCCACGACACGCTCCTCTGTTTGTATCTATTCATTCCACTTCTGTAGCAATTTCTACTTGTTGTTAGCTGTTTCTTCGGATTATTTTGTACGGATTGTTTGCTAAGCATTACTGCTTGTTTGCTGAGCATGGCAGAAGTCAACAGATCTAACTGGACCAGCGCTGAAACGCGCTGTTTGATCGGGCTGTGGAACTGTGACAGAATTCAGAGCAAATTGGAAACTTTTAGAAAGAAGGAGGCTTCGGGGACATTGCCGAGTCCATGAAGCAGGAGGGATACAATAGGACCTCCAAACAAGTCCAGAAGAAGATAAGAGACCTCAAGTACTCGTACCGGAGAATCAGGGATTCGAACAGTCGTAGCGGCAGGTCAGAGTTCACCACATGTGACACAGCGCGACGCAGACCACCACATTCGCGCTCCCGCGGTCCCTGTGTGTAAACGGGAAAGTGTCGTAGGCGACTTGCCGCGCGCGCGCGCGCGTCGAACGACGCCCGACACTTTTATTTTTCATCGTGTGAAACGGTCCTAACTTAGTCCTTTTCAGTTAGTATATCTAATGTTACTGATGTAAATCACAGGCAGATCATACTAACCTAGTTTTCCTTGTAGTTGCATTAAGCTCCCAAACTTTTCTCTCCATGTCCCTATAGAAGATGAATATTACAATGTTTGGGACATTGATAATCAAAGTTGAAACAATCAAACACAATGGGTACTAAACATCTTTTCAGTTTCAGTTGGGGTATAAGCAATACTAGTAATATTACATAAAGTCTTACAGTCCATCTGAACAGTATCTTGAAGAGGATTTGACCATCATGAAGTCTGTATACTCACTTCCCCAGTGAGATGAAGATAGGGTACAGCAGGATGTCCTTGGCTTCTGGCCTGTTGTCTGTATCCTGAAGAAAAATGTTTTCAGATCATCTGTCAAAGGTCTATATGATAACTTGCTAATACATGTAACACATAATAACTATCAAAGCAACATTTTCTTTACTCTGTCAAGTAACATTTTACCTAAACCTCCTATAATGATGATAAGTTAACTAATGATAATTGTGAAAACTTCTCACATCAGACAGGAGTTGATGAGCCAGTGAGCGGATGGTTTCTGAGTACCTCGTGTCAATTTCTCCCATTTTGATTCCTTCAACGATGCGAGCAGCCAGTCTCAGTGGATTCTAGAACAGAAGAAGAAGTAGATAATTTTAAAGGCTTATACTATGAACAGAATTCAACGGAATCCCAGGGTTTTATCATAGACAAAATAGCAAGAGCCACTTACTGATGCATCAAATGTCCTTTTGAGGGTGAGCAGCTCATACAGCACACAGCCTACTGCCCAGATGTCACTCTTAAAGCTGTACCTGCATAATTGGAGGGACAGGAAATCAGGGTGAGCTTTAAATTCTTAGGGTATGTTTCAATTGGTCAATGATATGATGAATATTACTTTTCTTGTCAAAGGATTGCAGGCGATTTTGAATCATATATAATGAAATATAAGCCTCTTCACTAATAAAAATGGGACAAGGTTACAGTACTGTACTTACCGTTCTCCTTTAATAAGTTCAGGTGACATGTAGTAGGGTGTTCCTACATACTGCATGGGAGAGAATGTACCATATGTTTTTCTCATAACATTTTTAACAATCATGCTCAACATGTCATTAGTATCAGTACCGAGCTATATCAGAAGACCGTGGATTGTTGAACTCCACGGCCGTGCTCTTCATCACTATGATGATGAACTCCACGGCCGTTGAGTTCATCGATATGGTGATGAAATCAACGGCGATTCCGTCACTAATAGCGGCGATTGGCCGTTGAGTTCATCGATATGGTGATGAAATCAACGGCATTTCCGACACTAATAGCGGCGATTGGCCGTTGAGTTCATCGATATGGTGATGAAATCAACGGCATTTCCGACACTAATAGCGGCGATTGGCCGTTGAGTTCATCGATGTGGTGATGAAATCAACGGCATTTCCGTCACTAATAGCGGCGATTGGCCGTTGAGTTCATCGATATGGTGATGAAATCAACGGCAATTCCGTCACTAATAGCGGCGGTTGGCCGTTGAGTTCATCGATGTGGTGATGAAATCAACGGCGATTCCGTCACTAATAGCGGCGATTGGCCGTTGAGTTCATCGATATAGTGATGAGCTCAACGGCATTACCGTCACTAATAGCGGCGATTGGCCGTTGAGTTCATCGATATAGTGATGAGCTCAACGGCATTTCCGTCACTAGTAGCGGCGATTGGCCGTTGAGTTCATCGATATAGTGATGAGCTCAACGGCATTACCGTCACTAATATAGTTCATTAATTCATACGTCATTTGTCTACACTCCAAGCAGAGGTAGGGTCGCACGGTGTTTTGGCAGTATTTTTGTGTTTTTAATACGTCTTTCTACTTTTACGGTTTTTGTTTGGTCGGAGGAGTAATATTTGCCACTTTGTACGACTTTTTCCTGAGCGGATGTCATCTGTCGAGTCACTTAGAATGACTATAATTTGTGAAATGAAACTTGGATGTCGATACTGATAGCAATAAGATATGAATCGAAATAATGTTTGAATTTTGTATGAACTTGTATTGTACGCATTTATATTGTATTTCTATGACTGATTATTGTAACTGAACCGAAGCATTAGACCCCTGACCCACCTCCCCTTGAACTCTTGAAAAGCGGCTCAGGCCGAAGAGGTGTACTGTTACATACTGTACTTTTTCAAGATTAAATAAGGGTTAAAAAAGCAACTCCGTTGAAAAAGTGTAAAACTATATTTTCAGGGTCAAAATTTATATTTTTAATACTTACAGTGTCTACCCCAATTGAAGAGGCAACTAATAATATGCCCAAAATTCTATGGGAAGACGGCTGGAAATCTTTGTTCATCGATATGAGATTTTCGACATACTTCTCTTAGCGGAATTGTAGCACTCCAGCCTTACCTTAGGGTGTCCGACGTCTCAAGAAATCGTATAGAAACTGTAAATCCGGTCCAACAGCCTCGAGTATGGTTCGCAATGCATGGCGGTATAGCATCAGTTGTTTAGAAGAACAATAGAAGTTCAACGGCGGCCATGTTTGTTCCCGTATAACAACAACATATAACATCACTGCATATCTACGACTGCAACCATTTTAAAACATAAATACAAATACATGTATGTAATTATGCAGGTTCTGTTCTTGTAACTGTTACTTTTAAAATCGGATGTTAGTGAACTGATGAGGAACATGAACGTTGTAGCAAAAAGGAAATCAACGACACAGATATAAGTCAAAAGTGAAACAAAACTGAATCATGAAAAAAGCAAACGTTATAACTAGAAACCAACGTAAAAATGAAAAACGGATTTTAAAAAATTATTCGGTGAACCAAGAAGCTTTTTTTAACCTCCTTGGGTGAACGGTGTTTTTTAACCTCCTTGGTGTTACCCAGCACGGTCTTAACCTTGATCCTGACGATTTGAATCTGAAAATAAAAACAAGAATGACAAGCTTTTACCTTACACTACCTATATCTGAAATAGAAATTAAAGCTGTCTGATTTCGTTATATAAATCACCAAAGTCGTATAGACTACTTCTGCAACACTCGGGTCTCGCGCCAAGCTGATATATTATAATGCATGACGGAATAGCGTCATTTTGTTTATGGTCGCCATCTTTTCAGCGTCCCGGCCGGACAAGTATGAAAATAACTGTTGATACTAGTACATACAGGTTGGCCTGGGCACGTTGTGAGGACGCATGGTTTGTGTTTACTGTTCAGGGGCCGGATATCAGCAAGACTAAACTTACGGTCTTTTATCGGTACCAAAAAAAATCGTTATTCCAACAAGGCTATAACGTCATTGCAAAAGGAAATCAGCGCTACAGAACAAAGTACGCGTACGAAGATTAACAAAACTCGAAACGCAAACGGTATGATTAAAGAAACCCCTAGCCTCAGCTTACTGGAAATGTATATACATTGTATTTCAAGGAAAATATGAGTAACTGGCAACCCACAACACATACGCAGGGATTGAATCTAAAATACCGAACAAGGTTTTTATTTTTGCTACAGCCGTAACACTCAGATCTCCCGCCTAGCGTCATTATAATGCATGACGGGATAGCGTCGTTTTGTTTATGTCCGCCATATTTGTCTACCCCGGTTCTAGTACTAGTACTAGCGTCCTGAGTACTATATATGAGAATAGGGGAATAGCCGTAAAGTCTAAGCCGCTCGCTAAGTCATTTGTATAGCGTGAGGTTGACACACATCATTATGTTTTAATTTGAGGACGAACATTTTGTGTTCGTTGCCGAGGAGCCGGTTGTCGTTATCAATTAGGCTATCAACACGACTGTCCGTATAACTATAAGACTTACTCGTAATTGCGTGTGTGTCTTCTTCGGGCATTTTTTGTACTGTAGTATAACAGGCTTTTTATGTGTGGCATTATGTGTGTGTTCTACCGAGTTTCAATGATGATGAAGACCTTTATTGTACAAACATACCCACTGGGTTAGGTACAAAGGTTAACTTGAATACACAAATATATACATGTACACAACAAGATCAATCTAGTACTAGCACTACAGTCTGTTACATAATTTCGACTTCTTTTCGCTTCTCTGTGATGTTGAAAAGATAAGAACATACAAGTTTGAGGATCGAGGGTTTGTCTAAGTTGATTAAAAATGTGAATTTGTATTACTTAGGTGTGTAAAGTGGGGAAACATCGATGTTATCCGTCTATAAACTAAAAGTTCAATTCTCGCACTGTTATACAAACTACATTCTACTACAATCCGCAGTTCCCACAATGCGGCGAGACAATTTCATAGTCCTTCTGACGAAGACAATGAGGTTACTATCTCAACAGGTTTTTTCTCATACATGAAGGACAGGTCTTTTGGTAGGCGACCACCCTTAGAGAAAACAATAATCTTTGTTTTCCTAAGGTTTACATTTAGCTTCCAAGTATGGCAGTATTGTTCTAATCTATTCAGGGCAGATTGTAGTCTTTGTTTTGACTCAGAGAGAAGGACTAAATCATCTGCATAAAATAAACATGGGACTAGCTTGTTGTACATGGTTGGTGAGTCACAAATGTCATCATTGAATATAGAAGGCCTTTTCTCCAGACAGAGTCAAAGGCTTTACTAAAATCGACAAAACAAGCATAAGACGTGAATTTTTACTAGGTACTTGCTAACTAATTGAAGACGCACTCGTGATTACGTCGATCACTCTCGACGTTTTTAGCAAACCAGGCTAGGGGCGTTGTTTTGATTCCAGGCGGTTCAATCGAAAATTGGTTGCACCTGTAGTACAACTGGTGAATTTCCCGTGCGACAAATGTCGACTAAAATGGTCCAATTCCCGTTTGTGTAATGTGGTGAAGTTCCCGCCTTATATCGGCCGTGAAGTTCCCGTACGGCGTCCGCGGACGGACATTATTTGTCACTGATGGTGAATTTCCCGCACGCGAAATGTCGACTAAAATGGTCCCGTTCGTGTAATTATATGGAGTAAAGAGACTTATTGAAAAACGCCCAAATACTGCCAGAATACCGTGCAATCCCACCTCTGCTAGGAGTGTAGACAAATGCCGTATGAATTAATGAACTATATTAGTGACGGAAATGCCGTTGATTTCATCACCATATCGATGAACTCAACGGCCAATCGCCACTATTAGTGACGGAATCGCCGTTGATTTCATCACCATATCGATGAACTCAACGGCCAATCGCCGCTATTAGTGACGGAATCGCCGTTGAGTTCATCACCATATCGATGAACTCAACGGCCAATCGCCGCTATTAGTGACGGAATCGCCGTTGATTTCATCACCATAGCGATGAACTCAACGGCCGTGGAGTTCATCATTATAGTGATGAAGAGCACGGCCGTGGAGTTCAACAATCCACGGTCTTCTGATATACCTGCTCGATACTTTGATGTTATGTTTGGCCTACATTTGTCTAGGCAGAACCTCAGTACAGTTTTTAATGTTATCTCCTCTTCTTATTTTATGCAGTCATTGGAAAAGAGCTTTTCCCGGTGTTTATACTGTTTTAAGATAGTATTTGAAGATGGAACTGTTGCTTTTTATGGGTACTTTTAAAAGGGACGTAAGGAGACTCTGTATGTTTTCTCTCCATCTTTGGTAACACATGCTCATCTCATCTATCCCTTAGTCTAATCATTTGTCCTTTGGGGAACCACAGAAGACCTATCAACCAGTTTACTCCATCCTCCTTGCTTTTCAGTTCTTAAAATTTCACATACTAGTGTCGTGCCGATCCATTCTCTGATATAACCCTGCCATATTTTCCATTGCCTACCCTCCTTTTTTCTCCCCTGTTGCTTGCATGATAGTTTAGGCTAGTCCCAATGACCATGACATGTGGCCACACCACTTCAGTTTTCAGGTAATACATAAATGTAGCATATAAGTAACGATACATGTACTATTGTATCTGTAAGTTTTATCCAAGAAAACCTGAGACCCTACCCAAATGTCTGCATTGTTGTAAGATGTGCGTACTTTGGTATTGGTCACAGCAAGTTTGTGGTCATCCCACACATGAGAGACTTTTTGCCCTGTGAAACATAGAGTCTGTGATGTTGCAATGTTGCATGAAAAACTTTTTATACAGAAGTAAAATGTGAAATACAAAATGTATATTGTGCATGTTTGTAACACATGGATTCTTGTGTTTTTTTTTAATTATATTTCAGTCCATACCATAACGGCAGTGAACCTTAATCCGACGCAACCTTAATCGGACACTTTTCAACACTCCTCTGTCTATTAGGATCTAGAACTGACATGCAAAATCTTTTAATTGCTTTACAAACTCAATAAGGTATACAGCATAAAAACTTGAAACAGTGATCTCACGAAGTCAACATGTTGTGGAGACGAGGTCATGAAATTTTCAGCTTGTTTTTATGGCGGCACAACACAGATTTCGCACTATGGGGATTTCTATAGTTAAGGACCCCAAAGTGGCTCACTTGGACTCACTAAAAATTATAGTAGGGTGCACAAGCAAGGTTCCGCATTTTGATATTTCTAATTTCAGGGTATGGTGTACAAAATATGTGAAAATGACCTTAAGTTTGCCGGCTAGTTCTCTTCTCACGCCCTCTTTTATTAGCGCCACTGCGGAGGTCATGGAACTGCAGCCGACGCACAGTACTATGCGGTACACGTATCCAAGCGCTAATCTACGCCGACTGAACACGCACCATAATTCAACTTTTACAGTCTCAAAACTGACGCATTCCTCTAACATTCACCACAGGTTCCATCTCGTTGCCATGCACAGAACAATCTCTGCCCCTTTCTCTAGTATTGTGCAGCGCTACGTTGTGCCCGGACTACTTTTGAAAGTGCTTTCTGAAAGATTTGGTCCCCCTGAAAAAAACGGTCCGCCCTACGATCCTTCAAACGGAGCTGTCCAAGTTGTGAAAAACAACGTTCATTATTTGTATTTCCAAATACGAACGCAAAAGCTAATTGCATGACACAAGTGATAGTGTGTATTAACAAAGATCATCACTTCGACGAGCTAGTTGGCCGAGTGGTCTTCACTTTTTTTTAAATTTCTTCCATATTTGGCAATCGGAGAAAATAGAATAAAAGTTGTTAGTCTGTGGTTACCATTCTCCACAAGGTAAGGGTTGTTTTACCAAGCCAACTCCAGTCCTACTGAGTATAGGCCTTCCCTGACATACAAGGTCTTTCCAGCTGACCTTTATAACTGATGTTATTGCCGGCTTAGTGGACCTGGGCGGGCAGGCCGTTGTCCCAGCACCGTAAAGATACGGAGGAGCCTACGGTGGTCTGGCTGCCAGCAGGCTAAGTCTTCAATAAGGAGGATCTACTTTGACCATGTTCACAAGACAAAAACGCCTACAATGTTGGTCTCGGATTGACACAAAGAAGATTCCGAAGCTTCTTTGTCCAACCACCTCAAAAAATCTGTATAGACAAGTAAACTTACTTGGAAACTGCATAGACAAATTAACTTGCTACTGCGAGTTCGTCTGGCGTGCCAGTTACATTATTGATGTAATTTGTCTGCACAACGTTTTCATAAAGGACGCACTAGTCCCAGTTTTTGTGATATTAATGGCCGATGACTACGTTGGTACATCTTCATTTTTTCCACCTGCAAAATCTGCGAATATTTCGTTCAAACAACAATTCTAAACGTAAATGAACTATCAAACAGAAGAAGCCTTAAAACAACAGACTCATTCAGCTCTTATTTCCGGTCTGCCTGCCCTCCGTGTCCGGCCTTTTGCCCGAGGGTCGGAACAGGAAGCGCTCCGTGCAGGAAACAACAGTCATAAGTTACCCAGCCAGATCGATTCTGTATGATGATTGGTCAGAAGCTGAGAGGTCTGGCCAATCAGAAAATTTGCCGTCCTGAACAATTTGCATAAACAATATTATAAAAAGAGCAGACGGCGGCTACTAACCGCGTGTCGAGCAAGGAATCGTTTCCGAGCAAGTCACCTGCTGATTCATCAATGAGAGGTACAGACTAGAAAACCATCAAGCTTATTTTGACTGACATACGGAAAAACGAACGGCACACCAAACAGCTTCAGGTTAGTGCAGAGTTAGAGTTTGAATGTTCTTCATGTGACTAGCCTCTACCAGGCTCCGCGGATCGCTGGAAAAATAGTAGAAATGGGCCGAAATAAAGGGAATAGTATACCAGAGAAGATCCAGCTGGCCATAGAAGC